TGTGTTAGAAGATATTTTGTGTGAAATCTATTGTCTTGGCTTACACAAACGGCTGAACAATTCAAGGCATCGTGTCCATTGGTTAGCTAGTAAGTCCGATAGGTTATCACTAGGGAAGGTTCAAGGCCGAAAGCTACCTATCCTGATGTAAAATATTTTCGATTTATACTCTTTCGACAAATTCTGCATATTGTTGCATTTTCGTTGTCATCAGATTCCATTCATGTGGGGGATTGTTAGAAATGGTTTTGGAAATTCTGGAAAAATAGAATTTTTCCTAAACTTTGGTCTAAATTTTAGGTGGGACCCATGCACCATAGTTGGCGAGTCTAAGTAGTAACGTGTTCTGTGCCGCGTTGTGATTTACGTGGTATACTTGGTTGCTCAAAATCATTATTGGGTGAATGGGAAATTGAAGCCAAAGTGTGTTCTATGGAAATGGAGTTTTGGTGAAAAATCCTTAAAGGTTTGAATAAAGGCTTGTCCCACATTGGTTTGGTGGGAAGAAATTTATGGGTTTATAAAGCTTGGAATTATAACTTGGAGAGGGCCCCAAGGGGCACCCCAAGTTTGTAGAAGGGAGAGGTTATGGACAAATTGTGTTAGACCCATTGGACCCAAAAATAACCACAAACGCGCGCGCGCCGCCGCTGTCGTCAGTCCGGTCGGTCGAGCGGCCTGGGCCTAGGCACGGGTGCGTGGTGTGGGGTTGGGTTGGGCTGGGCTTGTCTGGCCTAATACTAATCTTTTTGTGGCCAAAAATATTTGAATTCAATTTTATCTTTGGGTAAAATAAAATTTGTCCAATTTAAATTTCAATTTTTTGAATTCAAAATTGTTGCACCTCTTTAGAATTTTTTGTACAGATTCACTGTCCAAACAGATCCGAATCTGTCTAGATTCAAACCCAAAACAGTTTTTATCTGTTTGAAATTCAAAGCAGATCTGTTGATCTGTCCGAACAGGTATTGCATCTGTTGAGTTCAAAATGAAAAGCCACATTTTCATCTATAAATAAGACAAGTCCCTCATTTGTTTCACTACTGAATTTTCGTCCTCAAAATATGCTCTACTATCTCTGCATTTTGCTGTATTATTTTCTTTTGTGAAAGAGTGCAAACACAAAGTGTGTTCATTGTGCGAATAAATTATAGTGCTGCATTTATTCGTCGTTGATCATTTTATCCTGGGAGATAGACGTCCACAAATCTGAAAGCACCGTGGAGAGGACGAATTTGTCTTAAAGATATAGTGTTAAATACTGGACTTGATCAGAATATTGTTCAAGAAATTAATCAAGTAAGTTGTTAATTTATTTTCTGTTTTATTTATTTATATCAGATTTTAATTTTATTTTTGTAACAAAATAAAATTTATTTTTATTTATTTATTTTTATTTCTAGTTTGATTTTTGTAATCAAACATTTTTCCTCCTTTCTTTTATTTCTTTTGTTTGTTGTTAAGTACATAAACTTAATTTATATGAAATATAGTGAAGATTGTCCAACAAATAATCATTCAGTAATTTGAAATAATTCACATACTAACCATTATTAATTTTAAAATTTTACCAAACTTTGACAGAACTTTTTAAATTTAGATAATTTATTCATTAGATTTTTCTTTTCTTTTTTTCAAAGAGAAAATTGGTAAAAAGTTCATCTTAAAGGGGATAAAGACACGGCGAAAAAGATCGCCGGTGCTAGAAAAGGTCATTGGCGCCAAAAAAGTCGCCACGGCAGGCAATGACAATTGGCAACAGCAGGTGGTGGTGATGAGGTAGAAAAATATATGATATTCAATAGATAAGTTATTGAACGAGTGACATATGTCAGATTTCAATAGATAGTTAATTTGATTGATTTCAACAGATAGACAAATATACTAATTTTCTTTTGAACAAATTGTAACTTTTAACTTAAAAAAATTAGAGTTTAGATCTAACGATGGAAAGATTCAAAAAATTTCAATCAATTTTCGAAGTCTAAAGCGGCAATTCGCCGGCTTTGGACAAAAGCCGGCCTGGTAACTTCGTAGGAATGGGGACAAGAGGAGCAGACAAAACCAAGCCATCAGGGATCTCCAAGCCAATCAGTGAAAGAAACTTGTACAAACAATTTTGATTTCAGATTTTAATCATTTAAAAATGGAAGAATTACTTATCAGTTGGATAAAAAAAATATAAATAAATAAAAAAATTACACAAACATGACTTTTCATTTGCACCATATTATAAAATCGCTTTCACCCTCTATTTTTTTATGATTTTTTTTTTCTCTACACCACTGCTAAGTATTCTCCCTTTAAAAATAGCATTCCAGTTTATATATATATATATATATATATCTATATAATAAGAGAAGGCGCAAAATCGTACTCAGCTAGTAAGCTTTAGATTAACAAACGAAAGAGAAATAATTGAGGCTTAAACCATCTCCAACCCTAGTATTAGATTTGTCATCAAATTTAAATTTGATGAAACACGCTACTTTTTGGGCTCCAATCGTGGCATCAAACCCGTATCAAATGAGAGGAAAACTAAAAATTTCATTAAATTAAGGGAGCGTTTAACCTTTTATCAAATCTCAATAGTGTCTTTTTTTTTTTTTTTTTATTTTTTTTCTTTCCTTTTTTTTTTTTTTTTATTTGCTTGACAGCTCACTAGAGCTGTACGGCTGCACCTCTAATTAGAGGTCTACAGCAACGTTGTATTTTCAAATTGTATTTTTATACAAAGACAATAAGATGTAGAAAAAAGACAAAGGGTACTTTTATCACTAATTTTAACTAAATTAGTCGGTAGGCTCTAAATGTATCCTAAAATTTTAGTTAGGCATCTTATCTTAATGATTTTTTTTTATTATTATTATGTCCCTGTTTAAAATGATTAAAAAATATTTAAAATTATAGAAAGTGCAAATCATAGTATCTTTGGACTTAACCCCAAAGGATTGATTTGGTGGTCAAGGTCTAAAACTTAAAGGTCTGCTCCCTCCGTGATTTTAAGTTCAAAACCTCCTGAAGAGTAATCCATTTCTTGGGCTCAATCCAAAAATTTTGCCTCGACTTTAATTAGACAGTAGGATTAGTCCTCCGAATTAGTCAATCCTTTGGGCCGGATAGTATCAATCTTCCCTTCTACCATTCTATTGCATTTTTATACCCAATCTTGCTATCCTTGAATCGATCATTTTCTGATATAAAAAGCATACTTTTCACTCAGCTTCTTCATTTCTCGGCATCAATTTTACGAACATTGTTAAAAAATTCAATACCAAATAAATTACATTTATTTGCAAATTTGTTCGGTATGTTTTCGTTTAGCTTCTCCGTTTTGGGCATTAATTTTACGAACTTTGTTCAAAAATTGAGTACCAAATTATATTTATTTGGAAACTTATTTCCAATCATATTTCACTTGTTCAGCAATGTGTTTTTGAATTATTCGACGTTGTTCAATATTTCATATCCGAACAAAATGTATATGTTCGACTCTATATTTTGGTACATTTTTATCTTCTAACTTATGGCATGCGACAGTGGTGGTGGTGGCTGAAGGTGCCGTTGCCGTTGTCTGTTTGGAACCTCTGTTGTTGTCTTGAGAGTTTGAATGACAGAGTGTGTGAGGGTTTTTTTTTTCTTTTTTTTGTCTAGAGATGAATTCGAGACTATTTGTCGTGTGGGGGCATCTCTTGAGAGTTTATTTAGGATTTTTCATGGTAGAAAATATATTACGTTCAAAATAATAGAGTAAATTGTAAATTTCAAAATGAAATGTCCAAAAATATCCAACTAAAGTTTTGGAGTGTATTTCCATCCTCCCGAGTTAGTATTGCAATTTGAACAAAAATGACATAGGTATGTGACTATTTTAAATGACAAACAAATAAATTCTCTAAATCTATACATAAGAGAGTAAAATAAATTTTATCTAAAATTATAAATTATTGAATGCCAGACCAATCACAGCACGAAATGATGACTCACTAACAAACTGTTCATTCGGATGTCTATCTAAGAGGACTTCTGGCGTAGCAGTTATATGGGAAAATGGTTTGCACACCCAGTTTTGAAGACCCCCAGTGACCCCCCAGTGACCCCCAGCTGATGTGGCGGCACGCGATTGGTTGATTTTTTTTTTTATTTTTTTTTCCCTTGGTCCACAGCCTCCCACGTGGAGTGGGGGTGCTGGGGTCACCTCCAACTAGGGGTCCCTAGCACGGCTCCAGTTATATTATATAAATAGAAAAATTATTTAGAATTTTATCTGAAATTCGGATATATGAATAATATTTATTTTGTACATGATTTACAATAATATATTACTAATTTTAGTATTGCAATTTGAACAAAAATCACATAGGTATGTGACTATTTTAAATGACAAACAAATAAATTCTCTAAATCTATACATAAGAGAGTAAAATAAATTTTATCTAAAATTATAAATTATTGAATGCCAGACCAATCACAGCACGAAATGATGACTCACTAACAAACTGTTCATTCGGATGTCTATCTAAGAGGACTTCTAGTGTAGCAGTTATATTATATACATAGAAAAATTATTTAGAATTTTATCTGAAATTCGGATTTATAAATATTATTTATTTTCTACATGATTTACAATAATATATTACTAATTTTAATTTACACTCTATATTTCATGCTCAAAATAAAATTGCGATTAAATTTTTATGATAGCTAGCTAATCATACTGGACATGTGGTTTTGTCATATGACAATAAATTTTATTTATTTTTATTTCTCCACCAAATGATAGAGCAATCTATGAGCCAATTGCCACAAAGCTCACCTTACCACACATTTCATGGGTTAAAGAAGGAATTTGGTGAACACTGGACCATTCATACCCAGCATTTTGGTGGGATAGCAGAAGCATATATCCTAGATTTAATTCCCCCATACCATACCCTCCTCAACCCATGAAATGGAAAAGATTGTGATTGATAATTAATCAAATGAGATAAGACTGTTACCTTATTTTGGTGCCATTAACATGTGATGCAAGAACAGTTACACCATCTTCACCAACCTCAAGCAAACCCTGCCCACCATAATATTATAAATTACATTTGTACAACAACAGCACATGTTCAATCCATTGACAAAAATTAGGTAAATTATAAATATACCTTCTGAAATTTGTTTAAAATACGAATTGTCTCATGTGATTTAGAAAATTTACAAATACCCCATTGTCAGAATATTTAATTTGCAGAATTTGTGATGTCCCAAGTTCTTTTTAAAACAAATGCAGTATTTCAATCTAGAATTTTCACTTCTTTTGATTATCCTTGTTACTTTGGAACTTTATGAGTCTCATGTTGTTGTCTGTTCTTTTCTCTATAGTTATTCGGGTACATCCTAGTGTGTTCTATGGTGTTGTTTTGCATTTTTGGGCATTGGAGTGAGTCTAGGAATGGTGGGAATGCATTAAGGTGGCTGATGTCTCTGTTTTGAGTGGGGACAGCTCGAGCGGCAGTTTTGTCGCTCAAGCGGTAATGTCGTTCTTCTAGTACCTTGTTTTGCAGTCTGGACTACTGGGAGTATATATTCTTAGCTCGAGCGAAGGTTTCATCGCTCGAGCGGCCTTTTGTAGAGAGGAGAGAGATTCTGGGAGTTGGTCTTTTTGCTTGAGCACAGGATTATTCGCTCGAGCGGTCTTGGAAATTTAAATTGTTCGCTCGAGCGGAGATTTGTTTGCTCGAGTGGCCTATCCACATTCAGCTCCAAAAAATATGTCAAATCACTTAAAAGTTGAGTCCTTACACACTTCTCTTCCACTTTTCATTTCACTCTCTCTCTCTCTCTCTCTCTCCTCTCCTCTCATCTCTCTCTAGAAACTCTTCACCCACCTCATTTATTTCCTTGATCTTTCCTTGTCCTTTGAGATTTTGACCCAAGTGTCTCTTTAATATTGGAGGGCTCATCAAGGGCTATGTTTTATATGGTGAAAATCAGATTTCGACGCCATTGATTTTGAAACTTTTTTCATCTTTTCTTTCCAAAACTTGAGGTAGGAAGTTTTTTGAGTTATATATATGATTGAAGCATGTCTTGCCTATTTTGCTATGATTTTGAGTAAGGGGCTTTTGGGAGTTGAAGTGTATTGGGTCGAGAAAACGTTAGAGGAATGGTTTTTCTTATGATTTTGGTTCAAGATAAATTATTTTGTGAGCCTATGAACCACTTGGAAGCGCATGAAAGAAAAATATTTTGGAAATGAAGGAAAACCCTCTTTGATCAAACCGTAGATTTTGGGACAAATTAGAGAAAAGTGAATTTTGTGAAATATCCACGAAATTGTTGTTAAATTCCTTAAGAAATTAATAAAATGTTCCTCCTGTTGTTGTGTTGTTGAGATACCCATGAAATGGATGAGGGCGGTTGTTGTTAAATTATGGATAGCATGATGTGTATATGTTTGAAAAATGGAAATGAAGATGAATGTTGATTATGAATATGAGAGGGTGCCGTATGTCACATGCATGTGGATTTGATATGAATTTTGGGATATATATATATATATATATATATATATATATATATATATATATGTATTGAATATCATATTTTCCCTTTGAGCAAATATTGAGAATTGTGGAGGAATTATATATATTTTGAAACTATATAGTTGCATTTCATTACATTCACTTTGCATAGCTTTGAAAATGGTTTGTTGTGGCTATGCCTTGGAAATTGATTTGTTGTTTGAGAAAAGCAAGTGTTACTCTTGAAATGCTTTGGGGTAAATACAGAGGGAAATCCAGTCATGGGGTGTAGCTTGAGAATTAAATTGGCTTGAGTGTCCTTGGTGTAAGACTAGAAACACGCGCGTGCGGGTGCCTAAACTTTCTGGTTAGAAGTCGATAAGGTGGTATTGGGTAGTTTTGATACGCCTACTTGCAGACACTAGCTCCGGGGAATTGTCTGAGTCGTATTTACCACCCCGTGTTAAATTTTGCAATTTGTTGAGATGACGGAGAAATTCTTTAAAGGATCATTGCATGTGATTTTCAAAGGAACAAAACTTGTGCTATTGGAGCATGTCATAACATTACATCCATGTATATAGGACTGCTTAAATATATATATACTTTGTGAAGATATCTCTACTAGGCTTTATGCTCACCTCTAGTTGATTTGTGTAAGAAAATAGGTAGTGATTTCGCCTAGCTAAAGGCGCCGAAAATCTTTTGAGAGCACCAGACTCTCTTTTCTTTTGTGATTATTTTCACAGGCTAAGTTGCATGGGTTTGTTAACCACTTTTGTGTAACCAGACTTGAGCCTTGGAACTTGTAGCCCTTGAGGCATTTCTTTTGTTGGTTATTTTCTTGTTTAAGAATGGTCACACATGCTATGGATTCAACTTAGGAAAAATTGAATGTGTAATGCATGTGGACTGCTTTTGTAAATCTCTTAAATGAATGAGAATGTCAATTTAGAAATTTTACTAATCGAATTGAAATTGTTTAATGGATGAGACCATCAGATCTATTTCGAGGGCATTACAACTTGGTATTAGAGTTATCGAGTTTGAATACTTGGAGCTCGCAGGAAGTGGTTTTACCATAATGGGTTCATTTCGCTAAATTGGGGGACGTTTGATGTTTTAGGTGCTATGTGATAACATGCTTATTTGACTAGATGGATATAGGATTGAACTTTTAGGATTTTGTTTGCGCCTATTAAGTTTGTCTTATTAGAAGGACACATGATCAATGCTCATTCTAATGAGAATTCTTGGTACTTTGTGGGACAAATGTCATCTTGAAGGGACAATCCATATGTATTTTTGTGATTATGTGCTTACATGGAGTGGGAATATATGTTTACATGAAATGAAAGTTTGCAAATTATTGTAGTTGAACACGTGAGTTCAAGCACATATATGATTATGTGCTAAGTTATTCATTATTGTCCTTAGTTAGGATGTTAAGAAGAGGTCCAACGCGTAGTAGTAGAGGCAAAATGCAGGGTAGGCCTTGTTGATGCGTTCATGTGCTGGAACATACCATGAAGACATTTGAGATGCTTCACATTGATGATAGTGACCTTAGGGTGACTTTCACGAGTTACTATTTGAAGAGAGATACAAGCCAATGGTGGAAATACGCCAAAGACAGAGTTGGGCTGACATGGGAAGCTTTTGTCATTGCTTTCCAAGACAAATAAAAGCTTTCCAAGACAAATACCTACCTTCCACAACTTAGGAGAGACTAAGGTAAGAGTTTTTAGATCTCAAGCAATTGAATACGATAGTGGCCGAATTTGAAGCGGCCTTTACTAGTTTGTCCTGTTTTGCACTGAAGTTGGTAGCGACGGAGGAACGCCATTGCATTGAGTTTGAGAAGAGGCTCAAGACCAAAATCTTTTTAAAGTTGTTGGTAACATGATATAAAACAATTAAGGGCTCTGCTTCATCGTAGTCCCAGCCATAGCATACTAGATCTACTTTTCCATTGCCTAGTGTTGGCATGGGAAGAGCACTCAAGGTGGAGTTACTTATTTTAAGTGCGTCCAGCCGAGTCACAAGGCCAATACTTGTCCACAGAAAGGAGGAGGACATCAGATGTTGCCACTACCACCACCTAACCGATCCTACGGTCAGCCCCAAAGTAGGGGACAAGGACCCATTTGTTTCTAATGTGGCTAGTCTGAGCACATATCAAGCCAGATTCAGAGCCACTAGCAGGCTCATTTAGCTCAAGCCTCACAAGCTATTTAGAGAGCCACCTCGACTTAATCAGTGCAGTAGGCCTATGCTTCGAGGGATGAACGAGTTGACCAAAGGCCTAGGGGCACATATATGCAGTTACTACGCCAAACCAGTTGCCAGGATCCTTCGTTGTGAGAGGTAATTTTGTTGTGTTTAACTCTTTGGCTAGTGTGTTGATTGATATGGGTGCGTCACATTCATTCATATCTATTGCTTTTGCTTTTGCTGTAGCGTTGGAGATCGATCAGTTAGAGTCTCCATTGTGGGTTAAGTCACCGGCTGGAGATAGAGTAGCATTGGGGCATGTTTGTTGTTTTTGCGAGATTGAGGTTGCGGACTGTCTACTCTCTTTTGTCAACGCTATAGAGTGTCTGTATGTACACCTACTAGGGATTGTTTTTATTTTCAATGTGATCGGAGTGACAGTTCCATTCCACCATTGTATGACTTTCAAGGTCGGGAAGGACTTAGCTTTCTTTTTGCCATTTCTTTGACCAACGACAGTAGCATGGTTCGAGTTGACTTACCGAGGGTAGTTTATGAATATCTAGATGTTTTTCCTAAAAATCTTATCGGCTTACCACCCCATAGAGAGATTGAATTCTCCATTGACTTAGTGCCTAGCACAACACTTTTTATGGCTTCGTATAGATTTGCACCAGCCGAGTTGCGGGAGTTAAAGATCCAACTCCAAGAACTTTTAGATAGGGGCTTCATTTGCCCTAGCACATCACCTTTGGAAGCACAAGCTCTCCTTGCGAAGAAGAAGGATGGGTCATTGCGGTCATATATTGATTACCGCAAGTTGAATCGAGTTACTATTAAGAACAAACATCCTCTGCCCAGAATAGATGACTTATTTGACCAACTTAAGGGATCATGCTGCTTTTCCAAGATAGACTTGAGATTAGGGTATCATCAATTGAGGGTTAAGGAGGAGGATATCTAGAAAATGACATTTCGCATGCGTTATGGCCATTATGAGTTTCTAGTCATGCCATTCAGCTTAACCAATGTACCAACTTCAACCCTAACCAATGAGATTAGGGTACCAACTTCAATCATGGACTTGATGAATCGAGTTTTCTGGGAGTTCTTAGATCGATTGGTAGTTGTCTTTGTGGATGACATTTTGATGTATTCATCCTTTAAGGAGGAACACGAGGAACACTTGTGGATAGTACTTGATTTGCTTAGAGTGCACAAATTATATGCTAAGTTTGAGAAATGAGAGTTTTGGCTTTTAGAGGTGAAATTTCTGGGCCATGTGGTGTAAGGGCAAAGGGTAACTGTAGATGCCGTGCAAGATTGGGAACGACCTAAGAACATTTTAGAGATTCGGAGTTTCTTGGAGTTAGCCGGGTATTACCTCCGTTTTGTGAGGGACTTCTCTAGACTAAGCGCACTGTTGACCAAGTTGACTGGAAAAAGTGTCAAGTTTATGTGGAACGAGACTTGCAAAAATTCATTTCAAGAATTTAAGACTACATTGACTACCGCACTAGTTTTGATAATTCTGAAATAGGGTTTAGGTTATACTGTGTATTATGATGCATACTGGGATGGACTTGGTTGTGTGTTAGTGCAAAAGGGAAAGGTTGTGGCTTATGACTCACGTCAATTGAAAGCCCATGAGAAAAACTATCCTACACATGACTTTGTGAAGATATCTATACTGGACTTTATGCTCATCCCTAATGGATTTGTGAAGGAAATGATGTGGTAATTCCGCTTAGCTAAAGGTGTGGAAAATATTTTGAGAGCACGAGACTCTCTTTTATTTTGTGATTATTTTGATAGGCCAAGGGCTTAAGTTGTATAGGTTTGTTAACCACTTTTGTGTAACCAGGTTTGAGCCTCAGAACTTGGAGCCCTTGAGGCATTTCTTTTGGTGGTTATTTTCTTCTTTAAGAATGGTCACACATGCTATGGATTCAACTTAGGAAAGATTGAATGTGTAATGCATGCAGACTCCTTTTGTAAATCTCTTACATTAATGATATCAATTTAGAGATTTGACTAATCAAATTGAAATTGTTTAATGGATGAGACCATCAGATCTATTTTAGGGCAATTATTTGGTGGCGTCATAGAATCGACTGAAAAAATGAAATTCCTAATTTCTTTTCTATATAATATTAAAATTATATGAATTATTAATTGAAATATATTTATGATATCATTAAAAATTATTAATTGACTTGATGATTTATTAATAAAAGGTCATTTGTTATGAAATAAGAAATTTCAAAAGGCGCAAAATATAATTTTTAGAATTACAAAAAGCAATTTATATTTTAAGCAAATAACAAATAATGTATTTATAATTTACCCACTTAAAAATTTACTCCCTTAGCTAACCCACAGGCCACATGAAGTAGTTGATGACAGTTTCCAAACCCACCATATATTTTACTTACTCTCATGGTCAGATCATCCATGCTCTCTTGTTTCAATTTAGTTATTATACTTTTAATTTTATCAATTTTTTTCATATTGTATTAATTTAATTCAATTAATAATATCTATTTAAAATTAATACTGGACACATAGGTTCAATTTTAAAACTTTGGGCAATAGTCCCAAATTCTATTCTTTTAGGTCCGAAAGGACAAAAATAATTTCAAATACTATACTACCATTACCTATTTGTTTGTATGTTTATTGTTCACATATTTATCCACATCACAATCTATTAACCTATCCATCCACATATTATCTCTTATTTGTCCATGTGCCACCTATCTATTAATCTACCTACATCCATAACAACAACAACACCATTGTCGCCACGGGCATTTTTTTTTTTGGCAAAACTTCTAACACAAACTTTCTGGTGGTGGTCCAACAGTGGTTCGACAGTGGTTCGGTAGTTGTCTAGCGACGGTATGGTAAAATTGGGAATAAATTCTTTCAAAATAAAAATTTATTTTTCTCATCAAACAATTTCATTAAATATGTCCTTATTACCAATAAAAATTAAACATTTGACCAAATAACATATCGTTCCATAAGTGTAGACTTTTTATCAATTATTCTTTTAGTAAGTGGACTGAAGTCAAAAGGAAAAATAGTCCATTTACTATTCTCAAAATGATTTATGAATGAGTGCTTCTATTAGTACTTCATTAATTATTCTGAACCCCTAATTTTTTAGACTTTTTTTTTATTAATACAATAATCTCAAATGAAATTACTAAAATGAATATCAAAAATTTTGAGACACCCCATTTCACAATTAAGCCCATACATCCATTATATCATGAGTTAGGGTTTATGAGACCACCTACCTCCATCACCACCCATCCATCTTCCCCAAATCATACCTTCAAAACCAACCTACCCTTAAAACCTTGAAAACCCTTTAGCAATAATATTCCGATAGCAACGGTGGCAATCGTTTAATTATATACACTTCTTCGGCAATGACAATGAGTGAAAGTTTTTCCGGTAACCACAACTCCATGAGATGAGAGAAGTATAACAATAAAAGCTCAAAAAATGTGCATAACTTTGATAGTGTTCTTAGCTCAGAGGAGATTGGCCATATAAGGGTAAGTTTCTTAGAGAAAAAAAAATGGCAAAAATAATAAAAACTGTTCTTTATTTTTTCGGAACTGAACTCCAAAAAATATGACCGAAATTTAAGAACACGGGTCCGAACATTAATTATTTATTTGTTCAGGAATAAATAACTGAACATTTCTTATTTGTTCAGGAACAGATAACTGAAGCAACAGCAGAAGCAGGCAAACAGAGAAGGTCGGACCACCCTTAGGTGGTTGATCTGCCGGTTGATCGGGAGGTGAAATCCTGCCCAGTTTTGCTCACATAGAGAGCATACAAGTACAGTGAGGCTATAAATGAATTATAGAAAATCTACCACAGAAACATGAAAATGGATTGGGTTGTGTATGTGAAAAGATATAATAGGGGGGGGGGAAAAGATTGACAAACCTCATAATGAAGAAGAGGAAAAACTTCTTAATCACCGCAAATTTTTTCTACTGGTTTTGGAAGGTTCCACCGTCGTGGGTTTTGTGTGGGTTTTGGGAGAGAGACTTTTGGGGGTGTAGGGGGTGTGGAAGTGTGCATTTGAATGGATGAAATGTTTTTACAAGGATAATTTTGGTATTATTTGAAGAGAGAAAAAAAAAATTAAGAGTTTTAAAATTTATAAGTGAAGATTCAAAAAATTGAGGAGTCCAAAATAATTGGTGAAATGCTAATAACAATACTCTTTAGGAATTGACGTCTAATTTGAAATGATCCACTCCCCTTTGAATTGAGTCTTTGCCCTTAATTTTTGTCCAATTTCTTAACAAACATTATCCATTAGCCTAAATTGACCCAATTCAACAATCTGAAAAGAAGAATTAAAAGAATTAAAATTACAAAACTAAATTGCCAACATATATTATAGTTTTGAGTGTCAGCTGGCCTACCTTCTCAGTGTCGCATACAATGAGAGTGCCTGCTGCTGTTACTGTGATTCCAAGTATAGTGTCGGTGTCCTCAATAAACCTCCAATCCTCCCACTTGCTTTCATTTCTGTGCAATCTTTTGATCCAACCATCTCTTGTTGCCGTATACAAGATGCCCTCTTTATCCACACACACGTCTTCTGGGTTCTTCAAAAATCCTTCTCCAAGTTTTGTCACTTTCTAGATTTTTGGGTTCAAATATTTACAAAAAGCAAATAGATACCAGTAAGCATCAGCCAGAGACACACTCAATATATATATATTAGATATAGATGAAATGAAAAGTCTTGTTGAGTACTTCACCTGTAAGAGGCTGTTTGTGGGAAGAAAGGGAGCAGAAGAAGAGGGTCGAGGCAGTTCAAGTGGGTCTGGAGATATTGGAGAGAAGAAGAAGACTTGAAGTGTGATTGCAAGTAAACAACCTAATACAAAGCTGGAACATGCTGTCTTCCAACGCCTGGAGGAGGCCCTTGCACTTGCAGAGGCTGCTGGTGAACTTGAATCCATATATAGCTAGCTCGGCAATTAATTAATTCACTACTCGATCACCACTACTGTGATGAGAGAGAGAGAGAGAGAGAGATGAGATTGTAAATGAAAGGCTTATTTATCTATACTATCAGACACCAAGTCTCAAGGTTCCTCAAAATGCTTGATTTCTCAGTTGACTCCTAACTCCTACCTCCACCTCTACATGTTTTGTCCTGTTCAAGGAAATCTATGGTACACATCCCTTCACGGGTGTGTATCATAAGCATCTTATTACGTACTTTTGTGGCATGTATTATATATTTTTGTAATAAATATTATATATTTTTTTGATAGAAATTATGATAATTTGTGGTTAAAAAATGAAATTATGTATTTTTGTTATAATGTTACATATCTTATAATTACAAAATGATCGGATAAAAATATATGTAAAATTTCCATAAAAATATGTAACACAACTCAAAAATATGTAATTTGATTTATGAACCACAAATTGTTATAACTCTTACTAGAAAATCAGTAATATTTATCATAAAAATGTACAATATTTACCACAGAAATATGTAACAAATGCATATGGTATACACTCTAATAATATTTCCCATCAGTTTATAATAAATATCAGAGAAATAACATTTCAGTGATACTTTCAAAAATTAATTTCAAATTGATGAAGAAACTTAGAACAATTTCAATTGTGTGCTATATACCATGTTATTGCTAAAATTCCGCACAATATATACAAAAATTACACTGATAATATACAATTTATCATGCCAAATTTGGCATTATACTGTATAATATATGGTGCCAAATTTGACATGATAGGAATATCATGCCAAATTTTAAAATGATGAATTGACTTTTTAATTTTCCAATATTATAATTATCCCCAAAAATGTCATGCCATTCATTTTTTTATTATATATAAATTCAACAAAATTACTATATTAATATAAAATTTTTAAATTAATATTTTACAAAAATATTAACCATCATATTAAAATAATTTTAATTCAAAATACATTTTGAATGTGTTCCAATTTCTAGATAGGTAAAACACAGTTCGATAACAAGTTTGCTCTCCGTGTCATAGACACACATGTTCAATAAGATCATTGTATATAATGGATTTCAAAAAATTGAATCATATGTTATTTTAATTAATTTTATTAAATGTAAGTTTGTTTTAAACTAATGACTTGAATTTTTTATACAAATTAATTATTCGACTATAATTTTTTTAATTAAAAGATCTTGCAAATGCATATAATTAGGTGTACATGATCATATCCAATGGTATAAATTAAATCAGATGGTGATCATGCTAAAATATAAATAAAATATGCACTTCTAGAGTGGTTCTCTCAAAATATGATTTTTTGACACATACTATGCTACAATATGACATTCGCACGACTGAAATAACATAACCTATTGGAGGTGATCTTATGATTTTGTATTAAAATGTTGTAAAGCTACCACTTATATGATTATTATTATTATTTAAAAAAAAAACTAATTAGTACGTAAGTATTAAAAATAGAATTTTTGAAAAATTGCCCCTTAAAAATATTGGTCTTACAAGTTTTATCCAATTAGTTTGAGCAATACTTACCTCATGACTCTTTGAGAAAGCCTTCAGCATCCATGGTATTTGATGGTAATAAATAGGAGGTGTGCACGGTGTGGTTCAGACAGTTTGAGAGTAAAATTATAAATTGAATGATGGATTGGTGGATTAACGGATTGGCAAATCACGGGTTGGGTGGTTTTGGACAGATTGGCAGATTGAAAAATATTCTAACGAATTGTCAAACATTCGCATAATATATAATACTAATTTGTATAATTTTTTTTTATATATATAACACAAATTAATTTTACATAATATGCTTCATATATATAACTACTAATTTGTAACAAATTTCACATTTTAAATCTCTCTCACACTCATTTTTTCTTTGCTATTTCATTGGAGGTTAAAAAGTATATATGTATTAAGTATAGCGGAGCGAAACGGTTTGAAAGGCAGATTATAAATTTTAAAATTTAATCTGTGATTAGCGGATAGAGCAATGCAGATTGATGCGAATTGGTGTGATTTTAATAGATTGGGCGGTATTTTACATAGCCCTAATAATAAAAGAATAAATTTGTTGGCTTTTTGGCTTTTCGAAGGGTATTTTTGTGAATGTGAGCGTGCCAGCAAGGATCAATCAGTCCTTACAGAAATTGTGATTGCCAACCAATTATCAGACGATTGTGTTTTAGTTCTTTTCAGCCTCAATGAAGAGGACTTTTACTGGTGGCTTGACTTAGGAGAAATTAAGAGAGAAAACAGTAATATGAAGAACAATTGAAGTATTTCATAAAAATGAACACTTACAATGGTCCGAACTCAGCCTCGGAGAGGTTTACAACAGCAATCTACTTGAATCTACTTGAAGCTACTCCTATGAATCGAAGTGCAGTGCTGCTATTTAAAGTGCAAGTATTTAAAGAACATGTATTTAAAGACTGGGAATGTAAAAGACTGGAAAAGAAAAATATATGAAGTAAATGACTGGTTTGTATGATCTGAGTCCGTCCTCTTTTCTGGGGGCTGTCCTGCTATTTATACTCGTCAGTGATGACCTTCGAATTGCACTTTGACCCGTCGAACTGCTCCTCCATGATCGCTGATCATGCTTCCTTACAAGTAGCTCCATTACGCCATTACTGGCAGTTGAGCTTCCCTCTTGTACTTGGATTTGAATATGAGTAACCGTTGAAGACACGTCATCTTGCATCCCGTTATTTGATCTAGTGTTACTCAGATCATGTGAGGACCAATATTTGTTGCCACGTGTACGATCAGGATTAAAGGCTTGAATAACCTTCCTTTATTACCCTTACTATGCCACGTGTCGAACTGTAACTGGCTTTTACAAAATATGTAGCCAACAAAATTACACTTTCAACCCTAAAAATATGTGTCATTTTTCAATCCGATCCTTAAACAAAAAATTCTCCAACACTAATTTTGAAACTATTTATTGTTTCCCTGTTAGTCGATATTCCAACATGGTTAAAGGGTAGTTTTGAAATTCAAAAATCAAGTTTCTTACGGTGAATTAATATACTAACTAGTATACTAACAAATGATATGTCATAATTTTAGAAATTTTGAATATTTGTAATTTGTATAATAGGTGAGGTCAGTAATAATGACATAACACTAGTTGGTATACTAGTGTGTATATTAATTGGTGCATGTAATATCACCATATTAATTGAGAATTAAGTGTCACCATACAAAATATGTACACCAAAAACAGTAATAATAAGAAATAAAAAGAATTAAAAATGCAAAAAAGAGGCTAAATATTATTCTCTTATATCAGATAATTAGATCAAATCAGTGGCACAACTACTTTAGTTATAATAACTCTAGTGTGTGTGCATTCTTTAACCTTTTTTTATTTATTTATTTTCTTTCTTTTAATTCCACTAAGGTAGGCCTACGCCTTTGTCTTTGTCCTCCAATCTGCACTTGACACGTGGTTTCACATTTCGCTTCATCCTCTACCCAATCATCTCTCACAAGTGATTGTTGATAACATCTGAACGCCACAAATAACATGAACACTGCATGGGATGTAAATCAATAATGCATGTTAGAAAAACCCAAAAATATTATCAACAATTTATGTATGTTTTATTTATTTTACAAAATTTATTTGCACTTTTTTAGTTTAAATTTTGAAATTTCATGTTTAAGTACTTGTAATTAAAAAAGTTAAGATATATATATATATATATATATATTTCAATTTTAGTCTCTAAATCAAATAACCCAAACTTAATATAATCTCAAAACTATCCCCACCTCAAAATTGATCCCTACATCCAACCCTAAACCACTCAATCTCAAAAACCAACTTTCTATTAGATGAAAATGAAAAATTATCAAGAGTATTCATTGTTGGAGAAGCGAAGAGGTTGGAAATAGAAATTCAAAGGCTGGTGGAAGAGATTACGTGATGGGTTGTGTAGGGGTGTAAATTCGACCCGACCTGACCCGGCCCACCCCGGCTCGGGTCGGGTCGGGCTCATGTTGGGCCTCGCGGGCTCCCGTCAAAATTTAGGCTAGCCCATGGGCCAAAAAATTAAGCCCAGACATAGGCCCAAGCCTAGGGATATTAGGGCCTTGGGCAAGCCGGTGGGCCGAGCCTTGCGCCGGCCCAATGTGCTTGGGCCTGCCCTCAGGCTTGGGTCGGCCTAACCATTTATTTTTATTTTTTTTAAATTCTTTCTACCAAAATTTTATTATTTTTCATTGAAAAATTCACTGGGCCTTGAGCGGGCCAGGCAAGTCGAGCCCTAATTGGGCCTTAAGCGGGCCAATGGGCTGGGCCACGAGTGGGGCTTCAAAACGATGGCCCAAGCCCTAGCCTAGGGGCTCGGGCCTGGGCCTAAGCGAGCCTAAATGGGGTTAGGCCCATCTCAGGCAGCGGGCGAGCTTCGAGCCGCCTACTAGTCGCGGGCCATTTTTACACCCTTAGTTTTGTGTCGTGGGGAAATCACATAACAGTGGTTGTAGGGAGAAGTATTTATGGCACAAGAGGAAAGCTTTTTGGAATTTTTGGTTTGGGATGCTTCTATTTTAATTTAAAAATAAAAAAATTATTAAAAAAAGTTAAAATGTCTACAATTTTATCTTACACATCTATTCTATGTTGCAATAATGTGATCTATGGCCTTAGCAGAGATGAAATTACCTTTTTACCCCTCATTTTCATTTTTTTAGTTGTTTTTCTGTCCGAACCCATCCTGTATGTGAAAACCTGCATATAGGTGGATTGGTATGACAGTGTGTAGCCGAAGAGTGATTCCATCAATGAAGATGAATAAAGTGGTTCCATTAGTGAAGATGAATAAATATATATATGTATATATACATGAGTGTGTTTGATTTGTGTTTTGAGATAAATTGTAAAAAAAAAATTTGGGGAGCGAGTTTAAAATTTTTTTTGATTTGTTTGGTTGTATATTTTGAAAATAGTTTTGGAGTTTGGGAGTTTGGTATGATTTAATATTTCGTTGTAATTGACTAGATGTCACGTCCTAAATTTTATTACTCGGATAATATTATCAACATTTATTAATTAAGTTGATTTACAAATGATAATTCATCCTTTGATGAAATGATA